ACATGTGAGGCTGTAGGATCTGGCCTCTGCCTGCCTCTCTAAGCTCATCTCTCTTCCCTCCCTGCTTCCATTTTATTGTTATTTAACACTAAACTGTATGTGGTTTCCTGTACTTTCTTATTTGCCTATGTACTCCTTAAAATGCTGCCCTTCTGCCTGAAATGTTCTTATTTGCTTGCTTAGCTAGTTTTCATCCTTTAAAAGCAGGTAATGTTAACACTTTTCTCTGAGGAGTATTCCCTGATATTCCACCTTTGCCTCCTAAACTTAGATATCTTCCTTTAGTAATCTCATGATGTCCTGTCCTTATTTCTTAACCCTGGACTTGGGCATTGTCTTATAATTGCCTGTGTCTGAATCTTCATTACATTGGGAGCTCCTTAAGGTTAAGATATTTTTATTCTTAAATCTTAAAACAGTTTTTTTTATTTAAATTTATCTTTTATTGGTGTTCAATTTGCCAACATATAGAATAACACTCAGTGCTCATCCCGTCAAGTGTCCACCTCAGTGCCCATCACCCACTCACCCCCACCCACCTCCCCTTCCACCACCCCTAGTTCGTTTCCCAGAGGTAGGAATCTTTCATGTTCTGTCTCCCTTTTTGATATTTCCCACTCATTTTTTCTCCTTTCCCCTTTATTCCCTTTCACTATTTTTTATATTCCCCAAATGAGTGAGAACATACACTGTTTGTCCTTCTCCGATTGACTTACTTCACTCAGCATAATACCCTCCAGTTCCATCCATGTCGAAGCAAATGGTGGGTATTTGTCATTTCTAATGGCTGAGTAATATTCCATTGTATACATAAACAGTGCTTGGCACATGATTGTTATGCCATCATTTACCTTTAGACAAATGAGCTACTGACTTGCTAGCAGTCCATTATCTTATTAAACACAAGTATAAGGCAGTAGAGATGAAGAGAAGAAGCTAGCTTCAAGAGATCTTTATAAAGGGGGATCAAAATTGAGTAGATGAGATACGGAAAGAAAGTTTCTAAGCTAGGGAAGCTAACTGCTGGGCATGTCATTACATGAGATAGATACTCCAAGAAGGGAAACAGGTGAGGAGTCATGATGAACTCAGTTTGGGGTATGCTATGTTTAAGAAGGGTTTGGAGTCTATCCAGAAAGGAATAGATAAGACACAGTTAAAAATATGGATACAGAGCATGGTATCATGCTCTGATACATGGTATACATACATGGTATCTGTATGTATACAGAGCATGGTCAGAACAGAGAACCATAGATTTGGGGTTATCTATCTGTTCATGGTATTTCAAACTACTGGAGTGATTTTTACCCAAGAAAAATGAATGATAAGCATCTTGGAATGGTTTTATTGAAGAGGTAACATTTGAAATAATGTGTTTTAGAAAGCATGGAAGGGCATAATGAATAGAATTATTTTGTTTCCTTCAATGATTGGGGATCTTCTAACTTTCTTAATGTGTTTTTTATTTTTATTATTTCATGTGATTTCTGCATTTCTTATCATACAGTTAGTTGGGATATTCTGAAGATCATAGAGATTAGATACCTCTTATAATGTTATAGTTCTCTTCTGGGTTGAATTCCAGATAGAGTTTACATCTTGCTGAGTGCTTTCTTCCTTATCATTTTGCTTTGTCACTGAACCAAGAATTGAAGAACTGTTGTGATTTGTTGATTTAGAAAACTCAGCTCTAGAAATGTCCTGTCTGGCCTCAGTGAGTCTTATGATCAGCCTCGTCCTTGTGTCTGTATAATTGAGAACTCCTATCATGTTCCTTCTCAGTTTAATATTTATGAGGCTCAGCAAGGCCCTCAAATCCAGAATGCTGTTAATATTTAATGGCTTCCTCAGGTTTATGTAGAAGGGTGTTTTAATGTGTCTGGCAGTACTCTTTCATTTTGCTGTTTTCCATTATTTAAATGCCATCAAATTTTTTATATTAATCTTTATAATACGCAGTCTAAGTTTAGGTCCCAAATCAATCTGCTTTTCTTCATTGTTCTCCTAATTAGGCCTAATATATGACAGTAAGGCAAATATCTTAGGGGAAAACAAATCTTTACTCCTTACTTAAACATGCTTTGGTTTGAACAGCCTTGCTCAGACCTAGAGCCTTAGTACATCTGAGTGAGACTATCAGATGAGTTGTATTACCATCATCTACCAGATTGGGCATATGTGATCATCACATCAATTTTTGCAGAAATCACCTTTTTTTTTTTTTTTTGGTAGCAATAGCTCTTGACTTTACCTAGCACAGACTAAAACTACAACAATAGCTGTGGCATGCTCAACAGTGATTCTTTCCTGGGACTTGGGAGTTTATCAGAATCTCCAGGGGTACTTATAATTTGAAAAAGTCCCCCAGGTGTGATTCTGATTTGCTCCCTCTTCCTCTTTCTCTGAGAATCACTGTTTCATCACTGTTTCATTTCTAGATGAAATAGAAATAGGCACATTTATTAGTATATTGACGTTGCATAATTGAACTCCCTAATCCCCATGCACCCATACTTCCTTTTTGAGTGGTACCAGTAGTTCTTTCTAATATCAATAACCTCTGAACCCAATTTCTACCTGTCATCAGGTGTAGCTACCACCAAAGCAGCCCTGTTAGTGTTTAGAAGCCTGTAAAACAAGGAGTTCTCCACTAGCTTGAGGGCTAGTTGAATGGTGTGGTTTATTTAAATGGGAGTCCTTTGCAAAGACTTAGACTAGAGTCCAGGATGTATACTACCACCACTCCCTCACCCCCACCAATTTTATTCCAACATTTTACTATGAAAAGTTTCAAACCTACACCAATTTGGAGAGAATTTCAGGATGAATATTTATATATCTACAACCTAGATTCTATAATTAATATCTTAATATATTGTTTAATCATGTATCTACCCAAATATTCATTCCTCTATCCATCCATTCACCTTTTTTAAGGATTTCATGATAAATTCCAGATATCAGTACAATTTCCCCTAAACACTTTGGCATACCTTTCACTAGTAAGAGTTTAATATTTATTTATAGTCTTTTCTTTTGATGTAAAATTTACATACAGTGAAGTGCCCAAATCTTAAGTGCTCAGTAGCTTGAGTTTTGATAAATGATAAATCTGAATATCTCAAATCCCTATCAAGATATAGATTATAACACCCTTTTTTTTCTGCCCAGATTATTCCCTCTTGACTTCTATAGTTTCTGACTTAAAGGTAAGAAAAAGGCTTGTCAGTGTTCCAGGACAAATAGGGTTCAGTTTAATGATGGATCAGCAGATTTCTGCATTGCCTAAAGTACCTTGTATTTTAAAATATATGTGAATATATTAAAACAAGATACTGAGTAAGTAATTTTTCAGTTTTTAAGTAATTATTTCGGAAAATACTATATCTAGGTATAAATACCTTATATGTATTTAGCTAAGTATTTTAAAAGGCAAAAGCTCTAGTTTAATGAAATGTGAAGACATATGCATAGAAACAACTGGGGAAGAGAAAGGAATTGGAGATGAGATGAGAAAAAAATCACATAAATAATAGTGTAATATAACATATTAATACGTAGTTAATTGGTTAAAATATATATTATGTATATCTAGCATCATGACATATCACTGTCTTGACAGCAGTGGCATGTAATTTATTCAAGAATATCAACATATCATAATCTGCCCTTAGGAAATACACATTCAGTTCTTCTCACTGTTGGTCTTGGGTGTTCATCATTTTATTTTTAAGCCTTTATGCCTGGTAACCATCTCTTATTTGGCTTATTTTTAGAGTGATGTAGCGTATTTTAATTTATATAAGTGTATTTAAAATACGCTATAAGTTTGAAATTATTTGCTCACATTTTTTGAATAACATACAAATGTATTTCTAATAAAATAATTCTGATCCCAAAAGGAGAAGCAGTGACAAAAGTAAATTGTGATATTTTCATAATAAAAAGATATGACAAACATGCAGGCATTTGCATGTCATTCCTGAAATATTGCATACTGGCTTTGTCAGTACTGGTAAGTCCATTTCAAGGATGTTGCCCTTAGTCCATTAGTTTGGATAATGAGCCCTATAAAGTACATTTATAACTTTGGCACTGTAAGAAGATGGATTCTAATTTTCATCCTTTTATCTAGACACATTGAAAGAAGGTCAATGGAGGATTCTATATGATTCATTGTCCCAACACATACCATATGACAGAGACCTGATAATGTTCCTGCATAACTGTTTTCCTTATTTAGGAATAGCACTTGAAAGAAATCTTTTTGTGTTCGTCCTTTGAAGTAGAAACGTATTAAGAGAAGCTTTATCCCTCTTTTTTTGTTTAAGACATTATCACATGCGTGACCAGATAGCTGTTCTTAAACAAAAGAGAAAATAACACTTAACAAAAATAATCATTTTCTTAGATCTTTTAAGGGGGAAAAAACCCATTTTCTAAACAAAAGAAAAGTTTCTGCCTTCCAAAACATTAGAAAGCTTATGCTTATACTATAATAGTTGTACTACCATTATTCTTATTAATGGCATTGAAAATAAATATTTATTTATTTTTTTTTTAAATTTTGTTTCTTTTTTTTTTAATTTTTTTTTATTTATTTATGATAGTCACACAGAGAGAGAGAGAGAGAGGCAGAGACATAGGCAGAGGGAGAAGCAGGCTCCATGCACTGGGAGCCCGACGTGGGATTCGATCCCGGGTCTCCAGGATCGCGCCCTGGGCCAAAGGCAGGCGCCAAACCGCTGCGCCACCCAGGGATCCCGAAAATAAATATTTAAATTCTATTCCATGCTTATAGTTTAAAGACTTCAACATAGCAACAAGAAGATATATTCTGTAATTTAGTGTCAATTTTATGTCAAAATGTGAAATTGTATACTGTTTTTAATTTTGTCTTCCAAGAAATTGGTTTTAGATTCAAAATTGTAGGTGATTAGTGTTCAATGGTGTAATCATTAATGAGAACTTTTTTGCTATGTTTATCTTCTTTGTAGATGTAAAGCAATCATAGATCAGTTTGGTCAGAGAATAATCTCTAAGCATTTCCTTGTGGAGGACAGTTACTTTTCTGAGAACACATGCTCACATGTACAATACCGGTAAGGCACCCCTCCACCCACTGTCCAAGGGAAGGTGAAACATTGGAAAATTTACCTGTGTAATTATATTGACACTTCTGTGTAACTGTGTTCTTAAAGTTAGATGCAAATATGTATCAAACCAAAGATGTATCCAATATATCCACTGAGTCTGATTGTAGGGGAGTCCAGTCTAAGTTTGACTCATTAGTATCAGCTGGGGTTTGTCTGAAGGTCACATACCCTTCTTTCTTTTTTTTTAAGACTTTATTTATTTGAGAGAGAGAGAGAGAGAGAGAGAGAGACCGACCACAAGCGAGGGGAGGGGCAGGGGGAGAGGGAGAAGCACACTCGCCACTGAGCAGGAAGCCCCATGTGGGATTATGACCTGAGCTAAAGGCAACTTAACTGCCTGAGCCGTCCAGGTGCCCCTACATATCCTCCCTTCAATGAGCCAAGAAAAGGTTAAGGAAGAGCTTAACTTGATTTGAGGAGGCAACACTTTTATCATGACTTAAATCTTTGAAATATGCCTTCTGGTAGTTCTATAACTATAAATGTAGGTTTATAACTATATGAAAATTATTTATATAACTGTAAATGGAATCTGAATCACAGATTAACTGTTTTGTGCATTACAGGCAGATCTCCAGGTCAGTTCTGATTACAGATAGATCTGTACTAAAAACGGATTCAGATCAACAGGTAATTTTAGTCCTGTACTTTTTAATAAATGTTGCTAACTTAATCTACATGGTACTATGTATAAATTAATATTGGTGAAATAAAATATATTAAGTCATATGTGCTAATGTATTTAATGCATTTTTAAAAAAATACATAATGGCAATTTTGCAATAACCTTGGTTTCTTGAAGATTTCCTTCTAGCAGAACAAATAATTATATCTTATGTAACAGATTTATTCTATGGAAATTGGACTAAGTCCTAGTTTTTGACAGCTGTTCTATAAAATTGAAAATACATTGTTATGGGAAGAAAAAGAGTATCCCCAGAGAATACATTTAAAACTCGAGGAGGAAAAGGCCTTATGGTAACCAGCCCTAGCACAGTAGTGGTAAGGTAACCATTAGGCCTGGTGTGAATGAGTACCAGCACACATTTCTGGTTCTAATTTTTCCTCATCATCGTTGTTCCTTTCAGTACCTTCTTCCTTCTCCTCACTGCCAATTCTGTAGGAATGTCTTTATGTTATGGTTTTTTCCTCAGTCTGAACTCCTAAATTCCAAAAGTATGCCCCCCTTCTCCTGATCATATTATGCCATGACTGATAAAATCAGTTTACTTGGTATGACTGTCAGACCTTTTCTGTATGCTAAAAATAGATTCCACAAATTCCTTAAGTTAGAAGCTTTCTGATACATAGAATAAATGTTTGCTATGCATATGAGCATAAATACTTTTAGTCATTCAGTAAACAATGAGTGTCTTCTACATGTCATCCAGTGTACTAAGATCTGAAGACAGTGTTAACCATGATAGCATCTCTGTCCTCATAGCTTGGAAGATACAGATATATAGAGAGAAATAGCAGCTAGAGTTAAGCATGTGTGGGCAAGTGTGAGCAAGGACTGGTACAGAGGCTTGTACAGGATTGTAGTGCTCATCACAGTGTCCTATAATTGCCAGTTAACTTGTCTTTATCTTCCAGTAAACTGTAAGCTTTGTGAGTATGTTAAAGAATGACAGGGAGGCAGAAAAGTAAAGAGAGAAAATAGAGACAATTCTGTAGAAGCTGAGCTGCGAAGAATAAGAAAGAGGAAGTGATTCCTGAAAAGAGATGTGGAAGTGAAGGGGGCTTTTCTTTAAAAGATTTGTGTATATTTCAGCTGATGCAGTGGAGCTAATAGAGAGGGAAAAAGAGGTTGCAGATACCGAGGAGAAAAGGAAGACAATTAATGCAGCAAGGTGCAGGTAAAGGCTTGGGGAGAGTGGGATTCAGAGAATAGGTAAAAAGCACTGCCCTTGAGATGCCTTGAAATAAAAGGGTGAATACAGGACTATTTGTAGGTCTGGGAGTTCCCATCTGATAGGATCCATTTGCTCTTTTTTTTTTTTTAAGATTTTAATTATTTATTTATTTTATTTGTTTTTTTTAATTTTTTTTATTTATGATAGAGAGAGAGAGAGAGAGAGAGAGAGAGGCAGGCAGAGGGAGAAGCAGGCTCCATGCACCGTGAGCCCGACGTGGGATTCGATCCCGGATCTCCAGGATCGCGCCCTGGGCCAAAGGCAGGTGCCAAACCGCTGCGTCACCCAGGGATCCCTAATTATTTATTTGAGAGAGCACAAGCTAGGGAGGGCAGAGGGAGAGTGAGAAGCAGACTCCCCACTGAGCAGGGGAGCATCAGAATGATGTGGAGCTCAATCCCAGGGCCCTGGGTTCACAACCTGAGCTGAAGGCAGACACTTGACCAACTGAGCCACCCTAGCACCCCTTATTTACTTTTTAAATTACAAAATGAGGTCATCCCCTGGGAATGGGGGTGTAAGAGTACTTAAAAGGCCAAAGCTCAAGGAAAGGTATACAGCAATAACTATGAGGAGTTGTGAAGTGAGCTATCTCATGGTCAGATGGCTGCACAGCTTTGATGGCCCAGTTGATTTTGGAGGTTATGGGTGTACAGTAGCATTAATCTGCCACTAGCTTTCAGCTCTTCCATTCTTTTACCCAGACCCACTCTGTTTATTGACCTGTTAAGAGACCTACAATTCCTTGTCCTCTCTTTTTCCTCCCAGTTTACCAGCTTCCTTCTGCCCTCTTCCTTTTCCATGTTTTGGACCCCTTGGTTAATGAACTTAACCATGAACCATCTTATGAACTACCCTTCCAATACCTTTAATTCCCATGTAGCCATGCTCTTCCACTGCACTCACAGAAGAAAATTCTGTCCCTGGATGAGGCTATAATCTACATCTGGATTACAGAGGAATACATGAGAAAACTACACAACCAGACAGACTGGCACTGCCACGGAGTCAGGGTTACCAACCTCATTCATCGGAATGCTACCTACCTACCACCAGGTAGGTGCCTACCTGGTGCCTCCGATAGCTCCCTGTCCCTTTCCCCTCAGTACCTAATCCATATCTTTACTATTCTACCCATCCTTCTCCCTCTTAGCTCTTCCACTTCACCCCCTGCTTCTTTGAGAAAAGCAAGGCCACCTACTAAGCGCAGTGGCCCTTGACCTCCTGCCCCACCACCCGCAACTAATGGACGTGTACAGAGACTAATGAGGGGGCTCCCCTCCCTGTCCAAGGCCAGCAGCCCCTTTCAGAAATGCTCTTCACACACACACACACACACACACACACACACACACACACCTACTCTGTATGGCTGTTCTGTCTTAAGGCTTTCCCTCACTACTGCCACCTTCCCCTCAACCTATACACATGTATTAGCATTTTCTGTTTCAAAAACAAACAAACAAAATACTCCTTTGACTTTGCCCCCATCTCTAATTGTATCCAATCTCTCTCCTGCTCTTGGTCAGAATTTTCAAGATAGTATCTGTACTTGCTGCCTCTAGCTCCTTACCTCTCATTCATTTCTAGGCCTGGCTTCTACCTTCACATTACTACCACCATTTTTCTTGCTAAGCTTATTAATAACTATATGATGGTTAGTACCAGAAGACATTTTTTGGCTTTTGTGTACTGGGTCTTTTCTGGTACATTTCACAATGTTATAATTTGATTATTCCCTGTTTTGACTTCCATGACACTGTGCTATCCTGATTCTCCTCATAACTCTGGACATTCCCTCTCTGCTTCTTTGGTGGGCTCTGTCCTCCTCTTAAATATTGGGTCTCCTCAGGGTTCTAACTTCAGCCCACATTATCTCTTGTTCTGTGCACATTTACTGCTTAACTCCATGTACTGTCATGGTTCTAACTGCATAAATGTTGATGACAGCCATTTTTATATCTCCCAGCAATGTTGGCCAAACTTCCTGATAGATGTGTATCCCAAAGGCCTCTCAAACTGAACATACTCAGAGCTGAATTCGCCATCTTCCCTCTCAAAACTATTCATCCAGCACTCCCTACCTTCATGAATGGTGCTGACTTTTTACTAACTAACGACTTTTTACTCCCATCTCTGTTATCCCGAGCCTCCAGGTCCTCTCATTGTACTTTCTAGAAGTTGCTACAATCTACTTTTCCTCTCAGTCTTTATTCTCGCTGCTCTGGTTTCAGGACTTATTATCTCTACCTTCTAACTTTTTGTTCTGCCCCACATCTTGTCTCCTTCAGATCCATCCTCCACAGAGCTATCAGAGCGATCAGTCTAAAATGTACATTTGGTATACTTTTCTTTGTTTCCTACATGGCTTTTTTCTTTTTAAATTTTTGAAGCATATATAATGAGACTTAAATGGAGGAAAAAATAGGTATAAGTCTAGATAAATTTTATGAAAGTGGCATTAGAGGATTGAGGGAATTGGCTTTTGATGACTTTTATTAATCTCTATGAGATTTAAGATCTTCTCAGAGTTCAGGACACAGAAATTACTGTGGTAGGGGGTTACTGATTGTACTTAAATTCTTAAAGATTAGACATGATGGTCGTAGGAAACAAAAGAAATAGAGGCATACCTCAGAGATATTGTGAGTCTAGTTCCAGATCACTGTAGTAAAGCAAATGTCACAATAAAGCAAGTCAAATGATTTTTTTTGGTTTCCCAGTGCATAAAAAGTTATGTTTACACTATGCTCTAGTCTATTAAGTGTGCAGTACAGCATTATGCCTAAAAAGTGTACTTACCTTAATTAAATATTTTATCACTTAAACAATTCTAACCATCATCAGAGCTTTCACTAATTTGTTGGTGGAGGATCTTGCCTTAATGTTGGTATCAGTTGATCAGGGTGGTGGTGGTCAAAGATTTGGATAGCTGTGACAATTTCTTAAAATAAGACAACAATAACCTTTTTGTATCACTTGACTCTTCTTTCATGAATGGTTTCTCTGTAACATACAATACTGTTTGGTGGCATTTTACACACAGTAGAAATTATTTGAAAATTGGAGTCAATCCTACCACAATCTGTTTTGCTTTATCAACTAAGTTTATATCATATCTAAATCTTTTGTGATCATTTCCAATATCTTCATAGCATCTTTGTCTTAAGTAGATTCTGTCTCAAGAAATACTTTCTTTGCTCATCCATAAGAAGCAACTCCTCACTTTTTAAAGTTTTACCATTAGATTGCAGCCATTTAGTTCCTTCAAGCTTCACTTCCAGTTCTTGCTATTTCCACCACATCTACAGTTACTTCCTCCACTGAAGTCTTGAACCCCTCTAGGTCATTCATGAGGATTGGAATCAACTTCCTCCAAACTCCTGTTAATTTTGATATTTTGACCTCCTCCTATGAATCATGAATGTTCTCAATGGCATCTAGAATGGTGAATCCTTTCCAGAAAGTTTTCATGTTACTTTGCTCATATCCATCAGAGGAATCACTGTATATGGCAGGTATAGTTTTACAAAATGTATTTCTTAAATAATAAGACTTGAAAGTCCAAATTATTCCTGGATCCATAAAATGCAGAAAATATATTGTGTTAGCAGGCATGAAAAGAACATTAATCTTCTACATCTTCGTCAGAACTCTCGAGTGATCAGGTTCTTTGTCAATGAGCATTCGTAGTTTGAAAGGAATCTTTTTTCC